AAATATTTCAGAAAACTTTTAATTCCTTATTACTCATAAGAAAAAAGCAAATAAATTAATAAAGAATTTGTTCTTTACCCCCCATGATTTCAAATACGCCCCTAACAAGTAGCAACCAACGATGCAATACAACAAGGTGTGAAGATATCTTTCTTTGATAGTGTGTCAATTTGCACATTTTACATTTAATTTTCACAATAGCAGATTAGTTCTGTAAATGTTTTTTCGGAAATACGAATGTAATTAAACTATTTTGATGTTTATTTTTTATTTAATATTTTAAAATTTGTAATTCAACAGCTAGAATTACGTTTTCCTGTCCGTTTCTAGTATCTGTAAAAATTGGAGCAAAACACAAAAAAACAGAACACATGCATTCGATAGAACAAACATTACGAAAGAGTATAAAGTTCTTGTAAGCCCTAGAACGACCCTTCTTTTATTTTTTACGTTTGGAGGCACTTTTTACGACACTGTAATATCGTGTTTAAAACAATTAAATATAAGCAAATTATAAAATATCTATTACCTCAATTAATCTCTTTAAACAATTATTAAACAGAAATGCAAAACAGTAGATCTTGAACTATAAAAGTAAAAAAAATATATGAAATGCATATTTTAAGTTTGATATTTTTTCATCCGACTATTGACAAATAACATCGCTTTTAGTAATAGGTACCACAGAGGAAATATAATATTTCATCTATGGTAGTACCATGGTAATACTACAAAAAGATCTTTCTTCGAAGTTTTAGTGGATAGGGTGGTAAATAGAGAATAAGATGTAGCCGTGAAACTTTTGAGAGTAATTATCGAAATAATTTACGAGTCGGTCGACCGGATATTATCCATCAAAAGTAGAAACATTTAAAACCCATTACCTACATGCAACTTCCATATAATTTCCTGAACGAAATTCATCGCAAGTGTTGCTCGAAATCACTTATTTCGCTTGAGGTTTTAATGATGGTTCGTTTCTATGTTCTTGCTAAATTACCACCCGTCTGTTGGAGTCCCCCAGGCCCGCATGGGTCCCCCGGCGCGATTTTTGTCACACATGCAGCCATGTGGAGAGTGCATGCCATTAACCTTTTATCTGTAGCATGAATCTCACATAAGTTGTTACCATCAGTCTCTATTCACTGCACGTTCATTTAGTTGCCTGGCCGTGGCGGGCTAAAATGCACTCGAACAAGATAAGCATCCAGGTCCGTATTAGAGAAAAAACGCATCCTTTCTGAAGCAGCAGCTATTACGGAAATTATATATCCACTCAGCCATCTGCAGCTAATTCTTCCGCTCGGAATGGCAAAGCACACGGTGACAAAAACCGCTTTGAGCTTTCGAATTTTGAAAAATGCCGTGCATTGGGCGAAATGCAAATGCGACCATGTGGTATCTGTACGTGTGTAGAATAGCATGGGTTGAGGGTCGGTAACGCTGGCTTTGAGTGATAAACACGAAAACAAAGCCGTGGAACGTTTCAAATAACAGTTATTTAGACTAAGGAAAATAACGAGTTGTTTGTTATATTATACAGTACTCGCACGCGATTTTGTTAATGACTTTTGGATAACAACTGGTTCTTTTCCATAGCACTTAGTAACGTATCCGAAGAATATACATTAACCTCCGGCCATTATTATCTCCAGTGGTAGTTTTTCAGCAAACGACTTTCATCCGCCATTAGAAGCGACACGACCAAATTAAATAATTGCTTCTATTCTCTATAAAATAAGTTAGGAAGGTTACGACGAGGCAAGGGGGTTGGAAGGGACAGAGTAAACAACACTTCCCGCTGTGTTCTGATGGCGTCTGCACCCCCGGGGCTAATCACGACATGCCACTTTACTTTTCATAGAATGTAGGTTAGGGTGGTTCGACAAAAGGGTCGAAGGGAAAATCTCCTGTATTGTTTTGGAATTCGGATATTTGATCGCTAGGGTGATGAGGGATTAAGCGGAACATTGCTATTGAAGTTGTTATCAAAGGTATAAATCTTCCTTTTCCAGACATTTCTAACAAAAAAATCAATGCGTCTCTAACGGACTTTTTAAACCAAATGGACCCTACCACCGGCGCGATTGTTATTACTTTTACAATTTCTTTCACCTTGTCAAGTCTTGTGTAAGAAAGATGGGCAAGTATGAATTTTCGAAACATAAATTACCTATTCTGGGTAATGGTTCTATAGAAAACAAGGCATAGTGGGACACAAAAGCAGAGATTTTCTATTATTGCCAACTCTTCATAACTTATCCGCTTTCAAATTCTAGTAAACTTAGTCATTATAGAATTCATAATTCAATATCGCTATCATTTTGGTAAAAAAATAAGTAGTTTAAGTTAATAACCTATTAAATATTAAGCACACGTATAGATAATTTTAAATGTCAGTGCCATCAAATATAAATTTTATGTTTGTAAAACGTGTCTTGCAAACATATTGATAGCGATAACAAAAATTCAAATAGTTTGCAAAATATCGACTTGACGCCCAGTAAACCCAAATATGCTAGATAACAAGAAAATATGTAACTAAATAGTAATTTATAAATTATAAGCAAACAAAGATAATATCTATTATCAGCAGTTGCCAGGAATAAATAAAAAATTAATGGTAGAATTTGAGCAGCTTTTTCCTAAAATATTTTTTTAGAGACTAATGACTAATAGTTTTTATACTTTAATCGGTACAAAAAAATAGGCTTTCTCTTTTTATCAGCGTTTTCAGTGCGTTTTTACGCATAAGTGGGTATGAGGAAAGCGCTCGATTTCTCAAAACATGTTGAGGTTTGGTAATGTTGATTGAACACTCATGCAATAAACTGCTAATCCCTACATTTGGTAAATTTCTGTAATAAACCGCTAATGTTTATTAGAGTGTGTGGAGTCACTATCCCCGGCCGCCATATTTATTAATCGTAGATGGGTGCGTGTGTGCAGGATGTAAATATTTATTGCAATGTTCTTTTGGAAGTAACTTGGTGAACAAAATACTAAATCGTATTCTATGAAGAACATATATAGAACCGTTGATAAGATAATACGACTGTAATGTGGTGTTTACGACGTGCAATAAAATAGTCGTTGATGAGATCTGAGGACAGACTGAGGTCTTGAAGCCTTTTATGTAAAATAGTTTGTAATCGAGCGAGGCGCCACTGACGTAACAAGATCCCTGGTGCTCTTCATTATAGGTAAAAGCACTAATCAAAACAGATGTAGCATATGGGGCGACGACGACTTATAGATTCAAGATTTTCTGAAAAGGAAATGCGCTTGAAAGTGACTATGTTGATCGTTTTTCAAGTGTTTATGTTTAATTAAGGATAATGTTTACCGATACACATTTGATTAATCGATATCAGAACTATTATGTTGATTAAAGTCTATTGAACCTACTGGATGTTATAACGGTTGCACCTGCCCGATTTTTCTAACAGCTGTTTTACATAATTTATTTTAATTAGTTTTATCTCTATTTCGCTGATTTCAGGTTCAGTGATTCTAAAAATTTATATCATGCGTCACATACATCATAATTTTATACTCTAAAAATTGGTACAACATTAGAGGAAGATATGAGTTAATTATATAATTTATGTACACATCCTTTGATATTTTTCTTTGAATAGGAAATTAATTGACACAATTAACTTAATTAATAAATTAATTCAAATATTTAAAAGCGAACAAAAGGGACAAATATCTACATTATGCAATATGCAATTTAGTAAATCCGAGGGTTGTTTGATGATTTGAGGTAGAAACAGATAGAGCAGGCTTTCCCCATTCGGGTTCTCCAATCTTTTCTTTAATTAATTAATGTCCTATTAGCGTTAAAATTTTAAAGGATATCATTTTGCTCTTAATTGATGCCGATTTATAATTCTGTTGTAAACACGCAACCCTACTTGAAATGAGAATTTTTTAGAGCAGAAATTTAAATATTAAATGATTCCTTTTCACATTTGACTTTATAAAAGATAAACAGTAAATTATAGATTATGTATAAAAACTAATACATATTAGATAGTGAAGATATTACCGAAATATTTATTGACTTTCAGTGTAACTTGTAACAAATAGAAGTTGCATAAATTATTATCTAATTAATATTTTTATTAAATATGTAGAGGTATGTATGGGTAGTGTCATGTACTAAAGACAGAATTTATGACACGGATTAAAAAATATTATTTCCTATACGTACGTGCATACGGCAATCTAATGCGCCAATTGTTACAGGATATTATAAAATAATAAGAAGATGTTTTATTTCATATTTAGGTATTTATCATACCTATGTACCTTAGTGCATGTATTTTTCGTAAGTATGTATAATTCTATAAAATAGAAAATAATGATGACAATACCTTTAAAACAGTCTACATTGAACTTACGATAACAATATAATTAGTTAAAAAGCTAATTTATTGATTCTTCTCATTAATAATTATTTCGTATACTCATAGCATAAATTCGATGTTTTCATCAATTTAAAATGCTCTATTAAATTGCTTCACTTTTTAAATATAGAACAGAATGAGTATAGCTTTAAAAATATGATTTCTCTAAAATTAGTAACGACTATTAGTCAGGTTTTATTAATTGCTTTCGGTTTACGTTTTTCAAACATTAGCATATAATTACTATAAGTACAATAAATTTAGTTGTTGGATTTTTCTGCAAATTATGTTTGTAGAATTATCCCCTGAGTTAGTTCTAGTGAGAGTTTTGCGAAGGTTGTAAATTGAGTGGATTGTTGACGTAAAACGGTTGAGAAAGAAGAATCCTTTGAGAAAGCATTAATAAGTGTGTTGTCAGGTCCGTAATTGTAAAAATTGTATCGGTCAATTACGCTCGTGACGTAACGAAGTTAATCACTATCTCCGGTTGTGTCGTAAAGTGTGCTCCGTAAATAATTAGAACACGTCGGTGATTGAGCCGGTCGGCCTCACGCATGTTGGCGGCCCTGGCGACCGAAAGACCAGCCCATGACGTAGTCTCGACACAGACGTACTCGTAGACAGTCAGAATGTCGGGAGCATCGATTTCCTACCCCCACCAGCACGGGTTCTCCTCGGCAAGTACGGAGCTGAAGTGCGAAGCTCAGTCGAGGACCGATCCGCGGTCAGTAAACATCGCCATGGCGACGTGTTATCCAGCGTATGAGTTGACTCCTCCTCAGAGGACGGTGCAAGTGCCTGTGCAGAAGGACTATTCGAGACCGCTGCACGTCGACTGCAGCGTCGAGTACGAGCTGCCGAATACGGCGAAGCCCCCGCAGGGCGTTCGCAACGAGCCGCTGCTGATGATCCACCCCTGCTACTTCCGTAAGATCGAGAGTCAGAGGAGAAGCCCCTTCGTCAACAATCTCCCTTCGCGACAGCCCCAGCCCGCCGTTGCCGCCAAGCGACGGGTCCGTGCCCAGCCCGCACAGCCCCAGCAGGCCGCCCAGTACCCGGTGCAGTACGCCGACCGCCAGCAGCTCTGGGACCAAATGCCCAATCTGGTGCCCATCTCGCAAGCCTATTGCAAGCGCGACCAGCTGGCGACGGCATGCGCCGCCTACACCGGCTCCGGAGACTCCGGCCACTGGACGGACCCGGACCGCAGCCCGGACCGGCCCGAGGACAAGCACATCCTCTCCGGCAAGTACCGACAGTACTTGAGGGCTCACAGACTGCACCCCTATGTGACTTCTGCCATACCGCTGGCCTCTACCTTCCCGCAGATCCAGCAGGTGTGCTACAACGTGTGATCGCTGTGATATGAATTCGATGCCGATTTCGACGACTTTTGTACGGATCCTCTCGTTGCATCTATGGTGTCCGTAACCCTTCTTGTGATAATAGTGTGTAATTCTGTGACGGAGATGAAAGAGCGCAAGCGTCGTGCTCCGGGCGTGGTAGTGATTCCTCCACATCAGCTGTGTTTGTGCAACTGCGACCTAACCGCCGTCTATTTGGATTTCTCGTTCTCTTTTGGATTATCCTGTCTCGCCGCCAATTGCGTTACTGTTGCTAAGGATGCCCACCCGTTTGCGACTCGATCCTTCCGAACACCGAAACCCAATACCGCGAATTTCTAGCAAAAACGACGACTTGCTGTGGAACCGGCGAAACTTACTCTAAATCTTCTCCATCAGCTGATTTCTACCACAGTGTCAAAAGCTGCCAACAAAGTTTACTCTTCTAAACAATTCTTGTGCACCAATAACGTTAGTAAATTCAAGAGAATCCGTTAGTTAACTTTTCTTTCAATTAGGTGTAACATGCCTTGTTATAGTCATTAAAAGCTTTTCACTACTGTACGTAATTAGAGAGGTTTAGAGCAGCGTCGAACTAATCCATGTTTGGTCGTTTCTGTATTAGAAAACCTCAATGCCATATTTAAAAAATCCTAATTTAGTTTATAAGGTAATTTTTATTCTGTACATATTCGTGTTGCTGTTTTGAAAAGTTGTAAATTTCGTGTCCCAATTCAGTGATTATTTATGGAACAATAAATGCAATAGCATCACGCATCTTCCGAATTTATAGCTGACATTGCAATTTATAAAATTATGGTTGGCTCGTCCTTTAAAAATCTTGTGTAATTTGATAGCACTCACAGTGTTAAATTAAAGAAAAAGAAAAAAATCAATAGATCAGACTGTGTAGTAAATTGAGCCAAACAGGAAAAAGTAAATAGACAGATAATGCAATAGAACTGACATCGTAGGTCCGCTTTTCAGCGGATTTATATTAATATCGCTGTTATCACATGAAATATTTACGTTTTATGTTGATTACTTTAGATAGGAAGTTAAATATTATTTCCTGTGCATACAGCTGTTACATGTAAAATTAGACAAGTCTAGCGTAACCTTGTGTCTTTCACTAGATTTAGGGTTAGTGTTTGTAATATACACCAAAAAATTCTCCACGGCAGAATATTTACGGGTTTTAATCGGTGTTATAGCATATAGACAATACTTTTTCTAAGGATTATTTTGTATAAAGGCTTGAAATTTTGGACGACGTCGCAAACGCTTGGGTTCCACCTTTCGTAACAATTTTCGATGACCCTAACGTTGTTTGTTGTTAAATCATCAAAAATGAAATTAATTATTCAAAAGCTTCCGTCGGATGGAAGCACGCAGTCATGGAAGATTGTTTAGTGATTTTGGGAGTATTGCCCTCTGTAAATTGACTGATTTTTTTTGTAATTAGTTCAAGGGAAGTGTAGATAATTTTGTTACCGGATTGTACATTTGTATCTTTTAAGTTTTGTAATAGTAGCATTCCGTTGGTTTCCATGAACAAAAACGTTACAATGCCAATTTAGGGTCGCAAATTGATGCCATATTGAAAAAGTGCCGAGAGCATTTCATGTAATCGTTCGTTGGACGATTCCAGGGATCGTTTTTGGATCCGTGGAAGGGTTCAACCGTTTTCGTATTTATCACAGTATACCAAATAACCTAATTAACTTATGTATGTACAAAATCAGGTGGCAGGACTCGCCGGCTTAAAAATTTCAGGGTACAATCCTCGGAAAAGAACTGAAAAACTATTTTGAATATTTTTGACTCGTAGATTTTATTTTTGTAGCTCGAACTCGTATCAAATCGTTCGACTAGATTTATTTCGGGGGATCTTTTGGGCCGGCTTGTTCTCCCGCAACCAATAGTATGAAGATCTGATTAAAAACTTATTCGTTCTATGGCTACTACTAGACCAAAGAAATATCTATCAACTGTATATATAAAAGTGAAAAAAACGATCGGTTTCAGACTTGTATTGCTGCGACCGGTTTGAAAAAAATTGTGAATATGTATAAAATATTGCTATATATATTGTACAGCTAGTCATAGTGAAAATACGCTTATAAAATATGAATAAAACGTGTTACTGTTTTTATAGAATGAACTATAGTTTTATTTCACCTCCTCTCCGTCGATATATTGTCTAGTGTTTCCGACAGTGCAAACGGCTAAAATTGTGCAAGACTCAAGTAAGTAAACTAAAACTTCCATTTTGGCTGCTTGCGATGCTTTAATTTAAGCAATTCGCACTTTTTTGCATGAGCTATCGATTTTCGTTTGGATTCGCATTTAGATACAGCTTATGGCTTCGCGTTGACATTCCAAGTACGTCATTTGCAAATAGACTCAATTTAGCTTTAATTGTTTGCTGCCTGCGCGGTCTTTTACATAGTTAGTAGCATCTGCTCGTCGAGATTCTACCAATTCACGTCATGTGCCTAACCCTTTATTTTTTCCTCGAAATAAAAATACCGGACGTATAATCAATTAATGTCGAAATCGGATTCGGTGTTTATTCAAAGATTAAATCTGACATGGAGAGAGCTTGAAATAAAAGGGTTTTATCAGCAAAAAATTTGCAGATGGGGTTGGCATATTGCCTAATAAAGCAATAATCCGTTTCCCAGCGTTTTCGTTCTTGCGATAACCGATTGTGCATGCCGAGTTAAATTCACCTGACCTAGTTACAAATTTCACAAATGCTGCTAGTCATGAAAAATGTGGATTACACGTGACGCAAAAAACGAATGCATAATTATTTTTCTAATTGAGCTAACATCCGTAACGCTAATGACTAAACATTTTCTTGAAATCTGCAAACAAGATTTTAATTAAAAAACGAAAGTGGCGTTGCGACATTGCTGGAAGTTTACGATACATTTCTGCTAACACGAACTTATCCTGGGATTATCAGCGATAATATAATACCTCGGATTGGCATTGCAAAATTTCCTTGTCTATTAATATTTATGAACCTCGAAGGACTAGCAACAATAAATAAATAAATTGAGGCTAAGAGTAAGAAATTAATTGGGGCCATAGAATTAGTTTCGGTTAAGCTTAAATGATCGAGGATTAATATGTGGTTAGAACGATGATTCATTGACGAGCTAATGAAACGGTGGGCTTCCTGCAAGTTTTTAATAAATATCCTGTAGCACTAGCAGAATATTGATAGCACATTTATCATTATAAATGTAATATTGTATCAATATTTATGCGATAAAGTTGCCACTTGCTTTAATTATTTGCGTGTTATAACATAAATAAACAAACATTATTATCTCAATCTCCGACCTTGTTTAGTATTTTCATTGAACAATGTGTTGTTTCAGATGTGTACCACTGATGAATTTATTGCCAATTTATACTTATTTAAGGGCCATAAAACATTGGGAGTAAAATTCTTTTCAGTGCTCCGTGTAGGGCGCATTGGAAATAATTAATTTACAACTAAAATTACGTCAAATGAACGTTTATCTCAATTTATCGATGATTTTGTTTATGTTTGTAATAAAATAGCTTGGTTTGCAATTACTAGAATGAATAAAATTGTTGTAAAATTAACTTTATCGGTTCGGTTTCTGTCAAACCGTTACAAAATTATGATTTTCATTGCGGAATTTTCAGGAAAAACATATTTATGGACAGCTGCTCTTTGAATAAACATTTTTACTTTATAACTATATTTAATTATATTTGAATTTTAAACAGTCGTGAATAAATTTATTCAAAACAAAGCCGTTCTGATGTTTATACGTTTTATTTTTATTATTCAAAATGTAGATTTTGTAAATACGCTGTTTGCGTCATGATTTTAAGAAGTACTTTTAAATGATGGATGATTAGACGAAATTTAGTAAAAAAGTGGGAAAACTAATCAGGTCGGCATGAATTGTTGAACTTTGATTCGAGTAGCATAAATTGATTCGGAGAATTTCTCGGCAACGTTTCAGAAGTGTTGTAAATAGCACTGTATTTAATCCGAATGAGTCGTTTAAAGAACGAAAACATCGAATACAGTTAAAACGGAAGCGGGAGAAAGCCGGCAAAGAAATTAAATGTAAATTAGCTAAAAAGTTGCAGGCGGTCTGAAACACTGAAAGCAGAATGCTACATTAGTCTTTTTCTGTCAAATCGCGAGAGCTTTAGTTCATGAAAATAATTTTCGATTACTGAAACTAGTATGTATTGTATTATTTGTGTTTTTTTACACTTGATTCTTTACGTGAAATTAAACAAATTACATTTCTAAAAATGCGATTAAGTGATCCTACATTGAAGTTGTTTTAACCAAATTGGAAAGGATTTAATTAACTCACACAAGTAAAGGCCTCGATTTTATGACTTCGTTTAACAACCAATAAAGCGGAGCATTTTCCGTTACGGTCCTATATAACCATTTAGATTTTTTTCGGTCAATAAATTGTGTGCTTCGAAGATAAATTGATGCGACATCCATTGACGCAGCCGCAATAACGAGAATTGTAAACAAAATATTTTTCGATTACGTCTGCACCAACACGAGTTTACAATTTCGCTAAAAAGGTCACACTGACAAAATTCACATACTTTCTAAAATTAAAATATTAGCCAAAAAAGTTCGTATGTGAAATTATGATTAATTATAGTCAGCGTTTACGAAGCATTTTTGACGAGTTAAACAACAAACCGAATATTGTTTGCTGGAGAAATGATTGGAAGCGGAAGCTGCAATAACGAATTTTATGATTGTTCATGCTCATGCATTGTGGCTTTGTCATTTTACTGCGAAATTTAATCAGAAAATATAATATTGTTTGGATAGAATGGACGCAATAATTTAAGCAGAATTGATATTTTCAAATTAATTAAATTTTGATTTAGCGAGGGTGATTGAGCTTTGTACGATTCACTCTGGCAATTAAAATTCTGTTTGTTTCTTTCAGATTGTTTTTCGTAGTGTATGACGGTCAAAGGCCAAAACGTACAATGAGCGCTCTATTTGGTTACTCATTCTATTATACACATTTAAAATTTTATTACTTCAAGTTACATAACGCAAGAGTGGTAACCCAATTTGCAAACTGTAATGAAAGGAAAATTCAGATTTTAATAACGAAACACAAAAGTTATGTAGTTATATAGCTATGTATTATAAGAGGAGGGGTCAACATTTTATGTGATGTATAAGACAAAGCAAACTTGAAGAAAAAATGTAATAAATTTCAGCGAGCGTATGAAAGCTAAAAGAGGAATTAGGGAAAAGTGGGTTTTAGTCGAAGAATGTTATGGTACTTTTCAACGCTATTAATAAATTAAATTCAAAAACAAAAGTCATCACTTTAAACGCAAGGAATCTTTGGGTATATAAGCTGAGTATCTTCAAAGAATAACTCAGAAATACATCTTGTAAGTAGCCTCCATTTAATTCTCTACTTTATTTGTTCAGACATCTTTGAAAAAATCGGAGGAAAACTTTTCCTTTCAAGTATCGACATAAATTGCGTGTGGGATGTTCATAAAGTCAGTTTGTAAAAATAAAATATTACTCTTGTAGAAGATTAAACATGAACTTTTATTGCTTTTTTAAAACTATTATCTGAAACAAAAAGTTTACTAATGATATTTTGAAAACATAATTAGGTTAAAGCAACTAGATAGGACAAAATGTATAAATTTATTGGTTAAATAGATTAACTTTTGACGCAATGTTTGCAGTTAAAATGGAAATCGTGTAATTAATTAAAAAGCGACGTACTTTATTATAATTACCTATAAATTTTGGCGTCACTACGTGGTCACAGTGTTATTTCATTTTCCTTCAAATATGCTGTAGTAAAATTTAGCAAATTTTAAATTTAATAAAACATTTGAGCACGGTGGGAAATATGTTTTTGATGTCGGAAATGGTAGTATATCTTGAGGCTGAATGGGATAATGCATGGTTGCGTCGAGCGGTATTAAAAATAGTTGTGCCTTTTTGTGATAATAAGTGGCGTCCTGGAGGTATTTTAAAGTTTAATAAAAAAGAAGCTGCTTCATTCGTAGGCAAACGTCGGTTTCGCTAGCAATCAATAACAGTTTAGATGACTCAAGGGATAAAAAGGAAATATGACGTTTACATTAATGCCCGTACCGCATGGAATGCTTTTATGATGGATTCCTTCCATATTACTCTGAAAAGAACGCAATTCCCTTGAAACTTTCAACCATAAATGTCGGATCGTGTGGCCGCAATAAAATTTTTGACAAAGTATTCAACGATAAGTCAAACAACAACGATGCTTGCGATTGCTTGTTTATTCAGAATTATTGGAGGTTCGCGTGATAATTAATATCGCAGAGAGACAAACCATCGGTGGCAGAAACGTCGTTTTTCTTTGCTCCGTGGTTTCTAACGCCTTTAATTTGTTCTTCATTACAGCTCATTAATATTAATGACCGCTATTAACGGAAATGGGTTATAACTCGTGTTCGGTTCATGACATGTAAATTATTCGCATTTACTTTAATTATCATCATGAAAGTTAAGGAAATTGAACAGTTTTTAATATACCTACATTTGTAACACCGCACGTTGTCTTATTATTCGAGTTCCTATTTTTGGCACGCTGTTTAAACAACAAAATTTGAATTAATCACATGTTCAACACAAGGATAAACTGTTGGATAATAAGTATGATGAATAATTACTTTTGCTGGAAGCGCCCACTTGAAAGTATGTGCACTGTAATTACCGTACTGGCTGTGTAAGAATACTTAATACATTGTGGTAAATTAAATACGGAAAGACTCGGCAATATGGGAATGGGAAAACTCAGAAGAATACACCAAATGAATTCTTTTAACTTTTGTCACTTCCACCTGCAGCGATCACAAAATTGCACACATCTGTTTCGCAAATGGGAGCCATAGTTGTAAAGAAGGTTTCATTCTTATATTTTATTTGTCATGAGAATTACTATAGACAGTAACATCTGGTCGAACGGCGTATTTGGCTTATTTGTTATCGTCACTAATGACGATATTAAGGAAAAACTCTTTTAACAGAATGAAAACATGTTGCAAATCCTGTTAACATTATAAAATACCAGAATACGCTGTTCCTGGAATACCATTAGA